AACACGCGGCAGCCGACTCTGTTTCTTCGCTCGACCCTGTTATCTGCAGGGAATTCCCTTGGATAACCGAGCTGCTGCTGTTTGTCAAACAACCCGGTCCAATAATAGATCGCGGATAAAACGTTCTTTATTGGCGGCGTAACGGTCGAATATTCAATGTATCGGTTGTTCAATATTTGAATCAATTACTCAAATATCCCGTCTCCGGGCTGTATATTTGATAATCGAGCATTTCGCGCGTTCCGTTGCGATTGTATGTGTGTGTGTGTGTACGTGAGCTATAAATGGCGCGATTCTTGACACTTTTATTTACGCCAGTTTATTTCGATGAAATTTTTGGCCTATATTACAGCGATAAAGAGAGCGGCGGACGACGCGTTGCTACGTCGAACAAAGATACATACTTTTGGTGAGAGAAGCGACGCGTAATATTTCAGCAACGGCGAATGACTAATCTCAGTCTTCCATTATGTTTCGTGGATTATTTAACGTAAAGTTGATGGACTTGAGAGAAGCAAATTAAAACATTTATCACAACGCTGTGTCGCTAATTTTTTGTAAAGAGAGAGAGACAGACAGACAGACAGACAGAGTGAATATTTTGCATCTTCCTTGCAAAATATAATACAAAATTCTTCAGGTAAAAATAATAAGAAATAGGTGAAATAATAATAATAATAAATGATGAAATAATAATAAATAATAATAATTTGCTTACAATCACAGAGATACACTTTGATGAATTTTGTTGAAACATGGTAAACATAAATGCTGTTTGTCGCAACAACTATCACAAACTGAACTTTTACAATTTTTTATCGATTGCGAGCAAAACTTTTTAACGTTACTTTGATAACAAATCTTACAGCGTCTTCTTACTGAATTCTTGGTCTTAACAAACAGTCGGGAAAAAATGATCGTCACGCGCCACGATACGATAGAAACGGATATATATAGATATTATCAAGATGTCGGTTTTGTAACGAATTTTTAAAAAAAAATTCTTCGCTTTACAATGAAAGTTCCAAGTGTTTCTTGAACAGAAAGTTTACTGCGAAAGGGGCTTGGATCGCGGTTAACGCTCACGACCGTTTGTCAATGAAATCGCAAGAATAAGTCGTCCGTTGACGGCGCGATACGAAACGAATTTGGATCCGCTGATCGTTCTATGCTATAAAAGCAAGTGCAAACACTTTCACGGCCCGTTCGAACGTGCGAAACACGCACGAACCAGACTCCCCTTGGCTACTTATTCTCTCGCCGTTTCTCCGTCTCGCCGGCTCTCCCTTAATCGGCGTGTCTTCGTCCGCTTCGTACCCTCACGCCGCTGGACAACTGTTGCTGGTAGTGCATCCTTTATTACAGCATTACGATTTGCCGCGGCTCCACGTGCACCGCGCTCTTATGCATATATGCAGACCTCTCATGCGCTCCTTCTCCGCGCGTGTACCGCCGTGTTTCAAATGTATGTACACATGTTAAAAACTCGAACGTACACGCGGGGGAGAAGAATTTTTCTTCGCGGTCGTGACGCGTGCATCCAACCGTTGCCCCTCACCTAAACTTCTTCTTTATCGATCCTCATGACGTACGACGCAACGAAATAACGAATCGCCTTTTCGTCGCGCGATTGTTTGAGAAATTATAATTGAAAAGAATTCCTTCGTCAGATAGGAAATATTTGCGCTTCGGTCTTTTAATTAATGGACGCTGCGAAGTGATTGGCATTGGATTTTATCATTTATTTCAACGTAAATAGCCATAACGAGTCTGGCTATTAAAATAATAAATTGCGAGTAACAGAAGCGGTAATGAGTTGCGAGGAGTTTCGATACGATGTGATTAACGCATTTTGCTTTTTCTTTTCACTTTTCTCTCTCTCTCTCTCTCTCTCTCTCTCTCTCTCTCTCTCTCTCTCTCTCTCTCGTCTGTCTATCTCTTTTCTTTCGTCGAGTTGCACGAGAAGCATTCAAGTTGGCGCTATATCTAATATATTCGTTGCGCATAGATGGTTACTTCACTACCGTTATTACGGCCACGTAGTTATTCTGACACACACCTGCTGTCTTCAATTTCATTTATTTAGAGTACACGTGTACCGTAAAGAGTCTTCCACTAAATAAACGAGTAAATAAATATTGTATGCTTTTCTACTGGATTATCTCAGGAATTTCTCCGCTACGAATGCCGTAGAAGAATTGCAAAACCTGTTAAAAAAAACATACGTCAGCGGCAAAAAGGAAGCATTTACTTACATGTATGATGAATAAGACGGATGTTGAAGAGGAAAAGATCTCTGTTAACGTATAAATCTCGAGTGTTGCAAAAATTAGAGATCAACTCTTCGTGCATACATTTTTAACAAGACGGAAATAACATCTCGCGCTACTTTTAAAAAGGACGCGTGAAATTGTTAAATATCGAAAAATCATAGAAATATAACCCGGGACAGAAAAAAGAGCACGCTCTATAGTTATAGATAGTAAAGTAGAGAGAATGTGTAGATTATTACATCAGTATCCTTGGACGTGTACGGGTACACGTCTTCAACGTGATAACGCGTGTACACGGTGAAAACTCGTTCACGATCGATTCAACGTCGCATTTATAAAACATCGAACTCGAAGGTCTGAATGAAGAAAAACCAAGAGGCAACTTTCGAAGACAAATCTCCCCGAAAAAAAAAAAAAAAAAAAAAACACGCGAATTCACGCGAAATCTTGTATGTTGTTTCCCTCGAAGTAGGAAGCTTCGACGCGCGATAACTCGCGGTTAACGCACTTTCGCGCGGTTTCGCAATCGCTGTTCAGCCTTTGGTTATCGCGATGCACACGCCAGATATGTACATCGCGGCTTTATCGGCGCCAGACCTGCTGCCTATCGTTCGTATTTCATCGTTCCAAGAGTACGCAAACACTTTAGCCGAGAGGCTAAACGGGAGTGACAAACGCAGGCCGCATCGTAGGCATCGTCAGGTGGCTTTATTCGGGTGATTACAGCACGATCGGCGAGTAACGCGCTTTATTATTATGCGCCCTCTCCCCGTACCACGCTCGTCGCGGCTTAATGTCTGTGAAACACGTAGGCGCCGCTATCGCGAACGAACGATCGTTCGATATATCGTGCGCGCGATGGGAATTCGAACGATGTCTGACACGAGATTATCCCGCCGAATTTTTCGCCAATTATAACTTCCAACTTCCGTGCACGCCTCGTCCCTTCGATCCCTCTGTTCCTCTCGTCGCCGCGATTCGACTCGTTCGTAGCGTTTCCTTCTCGCGAACTGAAGAACAAAATGGAAAAATTTTTTTCGGAAAGTTTCTGAAAGTTTTTTTTTTTGTTATTATTTTGTTACTTGTATTAGTACGTTATGCTACGTTTTAGCGCCACGGGTTATTTAACCACTTGCGCTGGCAACTGATTGCGGACCATAACGAGCGATTAAACCGTATATAATAATAATTCGTCGCTTTCTTTTTATACTCGTTGGTATAATATCACTGGATAGAAATTATTGAGAAGTAGTAAATTTATTATTTATTTCGCCTATTTTGTTTTACCTAAATATATAATTTTACTTGTTGTAACATGTTATGCTATAATATATAATATGTTATAATATAACCTGTGTTATGCCTAATATAACCTATAAGGCATAGCTGCATCAACTTTTGAATAAAATAAAATTTTCTGCAGTGTCAGAAAACGACATTATTATAGGTATCCTTAATCATTTGCGCTGGCAACTGATTGCGGACCACAACAAGCGACTAAACCGTGTACAATAATTCGTCGCTTTCTTTTTATACTTGTCGGTGTGATATCACTGGATAGAAATTATTGAGAAGTAATAAATTTATTATTTGTTTTGTCTGTGTTATACTTAAGTATACTTAAAACTGAGAAAATATTGCAATTTTGAGGCAAAAAATTCTCGACGTGCGTAGTACGTCATTTCAAGACAAGAGGTTAAATAAACATGTTGGATAGTGCCAAGCGATTGCGCTTTCTTGATGTAACTACGTACAAGTATCTGTAAATAAAAGTAGATAAAACCTATTTGTGCAGTTTTTAAGCTTATATTAGGTTCAGCTTAGATTTAGATTAAGTGTAGGTTTAGGGTCGTGTGATTTAGGTTTAATTGGAAAAAAGTAATTAAAATAAAGGAGAGGAAGCTTCAATATGACTGGCGACGATATGACGCTATAATCATAAACTGAGAGCATTGAGCATCATGACCAAACGCTATGGCATTATTCGTACACGAAATCTGAACAGCGCGACAGCACTAATAACATTTAAACGTAAAAAGGAACCGACTGCGGTAGACAACGACGGTCAAGTATTTTCTATTTCTCAAAGGTGTTATCACGACGTTCTTCCAATCGATTCGTTCTTCCAACGAGATTCGATTATTTCAAACACGCGTACGATTCGCCTGAATGTAAAACGAGCGTCGTCGCCGCTTGAAATATTTTAACGTACGTTGAAAATGCTTTCGCGGTCGTCGAAGCGCGAGACAATTTGAGAGGCGTCAAATAGCAGGCATCGCGATCGATATTGCGTCCGGCAGCGTTGGCAAAACCGGTTCCCCTTATCCCTTGCAAGACATTAAACATCGGCGACACGAGCCTGGCCATTAAAGTGCGACGACACGAGAAATCCTTAATTATTCAATCAACGGGTTGTTACGTTTCTTGCGCGAAGCGTGAAGTCGCGTGCGCGTTCCCAATAAGTCGATCTTCCCTTGAAAAAAGAAAAAAAAAAAAGGTAGAAAAGAATCTAATACTTTCCCCGCAAGACAGACGTAGAAAAAGAAAAAAATGAAATTTTTCTCCTGTTTTGTTGTCCGTGGCTCACTTTGATCATTCAGCACGCATCACGCGGTTCGCGGAGGATGACGATACACCAGGAGTTCCCCGCTGTATATTTTCCTCGACGACGACCGTGACATTAACATCTCGGGAGCAGCCGATTCGTATCGGCGATATAAAAGGCAGAGTCGCGTGGCGACTCGGCGGCATATACGAAATTTCGCGGAACATGAGAGGCTCGCTCGGAACGGTAATCTTGGCGACGTGTTTGGCCGCCTGCACGGCGATCTGTCGTCCTGGATTGAACGGACGGGAAGATTGGTACCACTGCGAGGGATTAAGCGATTTAAACGTGAGAAATTGTTGCTTCTGTTGACTATCTTGTTAGACGGACAGCTCGTCACTCTTATCGCTCCTATTAGACCAGTGTCTTCGCTCTTTTCGTTTGATTTAATTCTCGGCGAGAAATTTCCCATCGCTTTGCTTTCCTATGATTAATTACAGAGTGATAAACTATTAGAGCTTTGTTTGTCAGTTTTCTTCGTAACAGTAAGAGTCGGAAAATGGTAATTAAAAGGGAGATGTTAAAATAACTGTAGAGATAACTTAAGTTTTATTTTTATTTACAATTATAGTGGTACAGTCAAGAAAGTACTTAAACACCTAGTTTTTCTTTTTAGCAATAATTTCTTGTAAAAAAGTAGTACATCGATGTATTTTCTGTATTAGAACTTTATTGTACGTAGAAACAATATGATCATTTGCAAACACTAGTAATTCACTGTACGAAAGTAACAGAAGAGAAACGAAAATTTCGTAATCGAGAAAGTATTTGCGCGCGTCAATATACAAATCAATGGAGTTTCACTTATCAATTATTTACAAAAACAGTCTAATTAAACTCGATGACTAGAATAACACAAAAAAAGTCACACTGGGAGGGTAAAGAACTGTCGTAAGAAGAAAACGTGAAAGGAAAAAAGAAAAAAAAAAAAAAAAAAATAGCAGTTGCAGATACCAGCGGGGGCAGCCGGGATCGATATCGTCAATTCGAACATCAGTAAGATAACGACTGGCGCGTTCTCCAAGTATTCCGATTCGCTGACACAGCTGAACATAACCGGATGCGGCGTGGAGGAGATCGAGCCGGACGCTTTCACGGGTCTTAATAAATTGCGGCTGTTGGGTCTGGTGAACAATAAGATCCGGAAGATCGATGCCTCCTGGATCAGGGGATTATCGAGTCTGAAGGCGTTAATCCTGTGGCGTAATCGGATCGTCGATATAGATCCGGCGATTTACGATCTGCTGCCGGAACTGCGGGTTTGGGATATCGCGCACAACGAGCTGAACGCGTGCCTGTCGCCGGACATGCTGAGGAAGCTGAGGAACCTCCGAAGAATCTTAATTGCCAACAATCCGTGGTCATACAGATGTCGTTCCTCGATGACCTGGTACATGGGCAGCAATCACATTCGTTTCATCAGGGATTGGAGCATCAGCGACCTGTTAATAGAGGAGTGCTTGGCTCACGAGCCTGGCGCGGAGGAGAACGACGTCGTTTTGGAGAAATGCGTCGACAGAAGAATAGGATCCGCCGATAGGCCGTACAGCGTGGGCGAATTGAACGAACAAATTCACGAACTCGCGCGGAAGATTTCTGGCTTGCAAGCTGACGTAGCCGCGCTGAAAAAATCGAAAATCTAATGGTGCTCTTGCTTTCACGAAGTCCTCGATGAATTTGGAATTACGTTATTAATTCGATAAGTTTTTGCTCTTTCAGGCGTAGAGCTTTACTATATTATATCGTGATTATATTGTAATCGTGTAAATTAGGTACGTATTTTGTACAGTAATACAAAACCGATATTGTACTCAACTGGAACCAATCTCGTACACACTGTTCCATATTAACCATCGATAAAGCAACATCCGATACACGTGTAGATTCGCAAGAAGCACTATCTACACGACGAACGTTATGTATCTACGTCCAAAGTTGGACAGTTTCCCCATATTAATACATCCTTCGGTACAAAAGATTCCCGGTCACGTATCACCGGTCCATTAATAACACGATCCCATCGAGCGAATTGATCGCGATGGACACTGCTTGCGGCGCAGTATACGTCCGCGTAGTTCATTGTCCATCGAGTTCTCCATTTTCCGGCGAAAAAGTGTTCGCTGAAACGAGCGATTGCCAGGTCTTCTTTGGGAAACGGTGGTGCGTATCGGTCGCGGGACCGTTAATATCTAAACACCTAAATCACAATGGCACGTCATACGCGCGAACCGCGTTAAATCACGACGCGTCTAGTAGCTGATCCACGGATCTCTCCGCCGATTCTCTCCGCGGTGGGACAAGAACATTCCGACTCCGGTTAGCCGCCATTCATCACACGGCGGCGGTGGCTCGGTTGAGAGAAAAGGAAGATAAAAAAAGAAAAAAAAAATGCGTATCGTACACGCGGACGGATCACGCTGGCGCACGCTCGTGAGATCTTTGACGCGGTTTCCGCGGTCATTAATAACGCTGGCTCGAGGCGGCGAGCCGCGCGAAAAAATAGCGGACCCTTGGGGGTGGGAGGGGGGCGCAACGACCCGCTACAACACGGAGGAGGAGGATATATCAGACCAGCTGCGAAACTGGCGGCAGCAGCAGCAACAGCAGCAGACAGCCCCGACGCCGATGTGTGCGCAACTGTCCGTTGCAAACGGTGCTTAACCGTTCACCCTGTGGCTCGGTTGCGCACCGCCGCCGCCGCCGCCGCCGCCGCCAACGTGCTCGCCCCGATAAGTAAGCCCTGTATCGGCTTCACCTCCGCTAACGAGACCCACGTCGCGAATCTCCGGAGCCAATCTACCGCTCTACAGGATAGATCCTTTTCTTTCGGGTCAGTTTCCCAATCAAACGCCGAGGGATTGGAATTGGGGGATGGTAATCGGTCGCGTTTCTGACGTTCCTTTCGATTCTTCCTTTTCCATCAACGATCTTGCAAGCTGCTCGCTCGTGACGTTTATTTCCGAAACGAAACGAGCTTGTCGATCTTTGATTCACAGACTTTGATACGTACTGCACGTAGAAGGCGGGTGTTCGATCGCGTGATACACCGACGAACGACGAAATTTTTCGTCAGCGTGCATTTCTCAGAATGTACATTGAGATAATCGAAACATTGGATTGCGCTATACTGCATCAACATTATTTATTTATTCGTATTCTGCATTGAATTGTTAGCGCACGTGCTAAAAAATTTAACGGTATAACTTTAAGCTTTATTTCATATATCTAATAATCTAGTAAAGGGTGGTAGGATACGTCACATTTCTCGCATTCGTGATGCGTCTTCCTTCTTCTGTCACGTTCTCTACACGCTCTACACGTTTGCTTAATTCGTTACCACACCTTTTCATTTTAAGCATATCAAATGAATAATGACTAATATGGAAGATGCAATTGTTGAATTTGAATTCACTCACGTCTGATCCAACTTGAGATTCGCTGCAATTATTGTCGATAATATTTACATGAAATAATGTAAATAATAATGCATAAAATAAACTGCAAAATAATCACGTTTAAATAATAGGTACACGACTAACGGAAGATGTAATTGTTGAATTAGAATTCATTTACGCCTGATTCAAGTGAGATTTGCTGCAATCAATGCCGATAACATTTGCCAGACGCCTGTAGGCACCTTCAGTTCGATTCGAGCTACGTGAAGTGAACGCCTACATAGGCGCCTCTCTTGTTTCAGCGAACTAAAGTAAGTTGAGCGCCCATGGGCGCCAGCACTACCTCGAAAGTAAATTTTAAAAGCGCCTTTAGGCTTCGATGGTAGCCAAAGGGGTTAATTACACAGAGTCGATGATTCACGCTGAATCAGAGCAAGAACATTCCCGAGCGCTGAGTCTGATCTAGTCTGGTGTTTCTTGTCGCATTCTTTTGACAATTTTCGAACGTATATTTCATAAATCATTACCGATCAAAAAAACTTCGAAGCGTCCTGTTCTTTGCTAAAAAGAAAACACCTCAATGTTCTAGAAACGTCTGGAACGGTTAGCGTTGTCAGGCAAATATGATTAGCCTAGGACGAACTAGTCAGTTCGTGTAAAATAAACTCTCTCGAAGCAGAATCTCCGTAGAGTCGTTGATAAAAAATAAGTATTCTCGTTGATTCTACGTTAGTAGTTGAAATCTACGTTAGTAATTATGGAAAAAAAATTATGTCGATAATACAAAGTAGATATTCCGAGAAAGTGGCGAAGACTGATATGAGGATTCGTTGCAATTAAAAACTTAAAATCTCATTTCACCCAACGAGTCAAACTCGACGAGTCTTCAGAATCTCCTCCAACTTTGCGTACGTTTTCTCGCTGTCTGAGACAAAAAAAAAAAATGTCGTGGAAAATTCACGAGAGATTCGAGAAGAATCACCGGTCGGCGATTGAAATCGGTTTCCACGTCCTCCGTCCTTCCCATTCGTATTTAATCAAACGGCGCTGGCGCATCGCGAGTTCCCTCGCGGATGCTATTGTAGCAACGGTAGGCGCACGGTAGGCAAAGACCTTAGGAAAGGATATTGTTCTACCTCCTGCACGGAGAGAAACTGCTCGCAGCCCAGTGATTTATAGAGAGGATCTTGCGCGCCTCGTGCTGCACCGGCATCGTCCAGATCCTCCTAGTCGTCGTCGTCGTCGTCGTCGTCTTCGTCGTCTTTGGACGCCGGAGTCGTGGCGCGGCCAACCATTCTCCGTATGCAGAGTGCTCCAGTTCCCACGCAGCCGGGGCTATCCACTCTCTCGCGCGTGTTCTCCAGCCGCAGCGAGTCATACCGAGTGTTGTGCTCCGTCTCGCTATTGCATCGCTTCTATGCGCTCCTGTTACGCACCCATCCTGCTGCAACAACCGCTGCTGTTGTAACCCAGTCCGGGTGTATTAGCATCTCTTCGAACCACTCGCCTTTTGCGGACCAGGAAACGCAGCTTGTTACTCCGTTCTCTTCTTAACGCATTGTTCGCCCCGGTATTTCGTTCAAAACGCAATCCACGCGTTCCACCTATCCTCATTCTTTAAATTCGAAATTCACAGATATTTCAAGATATTGTCGATTTAGAAATCGTAGAGAGAAAAAAGAAAGAATCAGATTTGTCGCTTTAATTTTGGGAAGATTACAAGAAATAATTTACAAGCAATTCTTCGTGTTTTAACGGTCCGACGCTGACGATCTTCTTTTTTTTATTTCTCCTCTTCTTCTCTTTTTCTTTTTTTTTCTTTTTTTTCCATCGATTTCGGTATGTTCATCGTTGCACGGTGTCGTGATTTACTTTACATTGTGCCCGGTTAGTGGTAAATCATGTTTAATAAGCTATAAGTTACGCTTTTGCCTTGGCTTATATTTATGATATGTTGATCCTTATCCGAATGATGTACATTAACGATCGAACCGAGAAATCTGTGTACACGGGATCGGCGAGTCGGTATCTATCCTAGAGCGTCGAGACGGTGCGCGCGGTAGGCAAGTAACCGCTTATCTGACAGAAACGTATCAAATGCAAATATCTCATGGTAGACGTGTTCGCGAGTGCCGAGCAACCAACTGAAACAGCGTGATTTATTCGGCCACGCTTTTTTTTTTCTTTTCTTTTTCACACGCGATCTTGGTAGATAAATACACTGGGTAGATCGATACGAATATTTTCATCTGTCGCGTATTAGCACATGTATCGAGGTGGCAGAAGATTACGAAACGAGGCAGCGAAGTTTTAAACAGCCGGAGCTTAAGCCAGGTTAATTGAATCTGGACTTTGCTAATTATCGAAGCTGGGAAAATTACTTTCGAAACTATATTTTCGCGAAACTGTGTATCGTGGTGTCTGCCATCGTAGGACTATCAGGTCTCTCGGTCTCTCGGAATCCGGGGAATGGAATTATACGTATTTTCATTATTGCTAATTGGTCGTATCGCCGTGTATTTTGCAACATGTTCGACGAATGAAAGTATACTCAAGTAGCGTTTTATCAGGTATTTTTTCAAACTGGCGGCAAATGTCAAGTTCGAGTAAATAATCTGTTATTGATAACGCAGAAATGGACGAACGACAGAATGTCGCATATAGGGTGTCTCGTGTGAAACTATCCACGCAATATTCTCTCTTAAATTCTCTCGCTCTACGGAAAAGTATTTCAAACATAGCTTACGTTGGTGGATGTCTTATGGCGTCCGCAAATTTTATGTAAATGGTCAGACTTCCGAGATTTATTTCTTATTTGTTTAAATAAAACTGTATATTTTTGAGTTCACTGTCTTGCAGTTGTCATGAAGACTTGAGCGACCTGGATAACGTTGGTATTTCAACGCCGCTCGAAGCTTACCTTGGTTATTAATCACGAGCCAGAAATTGTTACTTATCTATGATGTTCGAAGTGGAAACATGTCAATACACTGATTTATTGTTATCCCACACGACCATAGCAAGACAATTTCTCCTCTACGGGGTTTTTTAAATAAAAGTCAAGTTAGTCAAGTCAAGATTGTTAGGGAACAATTTTCAGAGACTCAACGACGGCGGTAAGCTTTGAACGGTGTTAAATGACATTGAATGACCTTGGAATACCAACGTTATCCAGGTTGAACTCGTTGACAATTGAATTTCTTTCTTAACGCCAGCTACAAGACTGTGAACTCGAAAATATACACTTCTGTTTAAGAAGAAACAAAAGTCGCCTCGAAATCTGGGTATCACGACTACGTAGACAAGATTTGTGGCCACCATTTGTCGCCCCCCTTGAAACAACAACGCCAATTTTGTTTGAAACATTTTTCTCTACAGCGAATAGTTTAGAAAAAAATTACGCGGATAGTGTTGTATAGGATGCCC